TTCATTTGTGTTTTATTCTGTACATAAAGTAAACATCATATACATTTTTATGAAATTCTACTTTAAATAAAATGTAGCAGTGCGAACATGGATTTAAGTTACAAAGTGTTTATTGTTTTTATAGAAAAGTCGAAAAAAAATTAAATTTATTCATTTCAAATATATAATTCAAATATATAACATGTAATCTAAATCGCTGACTCGTACTCTTTTCCTTTGTATGTCCAATAAATAATGTCACAATAAAATTTGATATTTTTAGAACTTCCTTTTTTATAATCATTTTACAAAATTGAAACACAACGACAACAATTGGTTACATTAAATTGCTTTTGCAATATCATATTGTAAGTGACAGTAACGTCCGTGTGAAAGATGATACCTCGAAACGATATCGGATATCGCAACAATATCGCATTAACAATTGTTCCATCTAAATAAGCTTTTATATAAAATTATATTATGTCATCTCATACGAAATATTCGCTTTATATTAACTGTGATTTCAAATAATTTCTCGGGAACGAATATGTTTAATTGCAGTAATTACATATAGACATTGTTCCACATTTATATCCAATGAAAAACCAATTACGCAAATTTATTCAACAAAATCTGAAAATAGTTGGAATGTGGAAATAACTTTAAATTGTATTAGTTTTCTATGATTAATTTTACGCAGTGTAACATTTAAAAATGTTTTATCTTTCTATAAGTAATATAAAATATAAATGTCAAGTAAAACGTAAATGTCAAATTTATGCAGCAATTTATTTTTAAGCCCCTAGAAATGTTATTTTGAAATTTAAATGACCTCTCTTTTAAGAAGCAAATCTCTCTCTGTAATATTTCGTATGATTAGATATTGGATTATTAATCAAGGCAAACTCAACTAACGTATTCAAATATTATGCGCGCAATTGTTCTTTCAACGTGTAATGAAAGAATATATTATTAATGCAATTAGTAATTTCATAGCAAGTAAGTTAATATTGAACAATGAATAAATAATGATATAGTTTGCGTAATAGTCTCGAATAAATTGAATGTAGGGCATCAATAATCGAATATCCCTTGAATTTATTATCAGATGCTTCCCTCTTTTATCCCCTAATGTTAATATACAGCTCCACTGTTATTATAGCAAAATTATGACCGTGCCGTTATTATAGCGAAATAATGATTGACTGTGTAAAAAGATACTTAAAATATGATATCATTTCTGTCGTAAATTTCCGACTTTTCTCTCAAACTTCATATCGGCTTTGCGTCACAGGCGACATTCTGCAATTTTTTCACATGTGCGCGTCGCGAGGATAGAGAACAACCAATGTGACCGGCGATCATGATCGCGCACGAAATGCATCGCGTAAAACTCAACGATCCGCTCGTAGGGACGGAAGCAGCGGCGGAAAGAAGGTTTAAAGTTGGAGCCTGAAAAAGTTGCCGGAGGACCTAAGTACGCGCACGCAAACGCGTAAAACGACCCCCAACGATAGGGTCGTTTCCTTGCGTATCCTCCCTCCTCGCCATCAGGATCAGGGATTCGCGTCCTTGGGTTTCTCAACGCTTCTCAACATTCGCATGCGCATATATATGTATCATCATCACACTGATACGCGTGCTGGTATCGTTGTGTATATGGAATGTAATATGGTGGCCTGTAGCGTCACATGGCTATTTAGAGGAGCTACAGGATAGATCCGAGAGAAGCGAGGATCGAGGAGGGTCGCTGAGAGCAACGATGCGGCTGCAAGAAGTAAGGACACCGGGGGGAAAACGTAAGAGACCGACTCGAAGAGAAGCTCGAGGCGATGCACCCTCTCTTCTCCCTCTTTCTCCTCCGCCCTCTCTTCCTCGCTGCTCCTTCTCCTCTTCTCTTTCTTCCTCTCTGCTCCTTCTTTATCGTATCCACCCTGTACGAGCCATTTCTCGTACCGACCCTACCGTTATTTCCCGTTTTCCTTTGTTCGCGCGGGCGACAGTGATATTCTGCGGGAATCCGCAGATGTGGCTCGCTCGCATCCGCGTCTCGGTTCGTAGGCCTGGCTTGCGCGAGTTTGCGAAAAGCCAGACCAAGTGACACCGGGGTTGGCGCGCGCTGAGCATGGCATTGTTGCTCAGTGACGGGCTAATAAAGAAAAATAGAAGCTCCGGCGCGCGCCCGCGAGGATATTAGTTGTCTTCTGTGTTCGTGAGAGGCCGGAGTGCCGGCGAGAAAAGAATAGACCGTCGATCTCCGACAAGAGAGAGGAAGGAGGAAGATAGATGCCGTGATGGGACTTTATATTTACGTGTTTCTCGATGTTGATACCGATTACGTCTCTGCTAGGATTTCATTTGAGAAGCTTCACGTCGCAATTTTATTTATCCACTGTACGGATAAATATAAATGAGAGAACGTACTCCCGCTTATGTTTAAGGTAAAACGAAAATATAATAATTGATCATAGGAAATATCATCGTTGAATTAATATTATAATTAATCTGATATTACAAATGGCTATTTGACGAAACTAGCTACTTGCTATTTAAACCTAGCAAATAGAAAATAGAGAATTTAAAATAAATTAATGGCATTTTGAGAAAAAACATCTAACATAATTATGAATATTTCCTATAATAATAAATTTTTAATGTAGAAAAATAAACTTTTATTAGCATACCAGTATCAGAGGTTACACAGAAAAACACATTAATAATATGATATATAACTTTGTGCAATGAGCATTTTCATCCACATATCATTATCGAAAAATTTGTTTAGTAATGAAAGCCAATTTATTTTTGAGATCTCGAAAATACATACATTTATAAAATTAAATGTAAATATTATTTGTTTACAACGTTATTTGTTTTTAAATACTATGAAATGCACATTGTAAATATTTTGTAGCACATTTCGTATCGGCTTTAATATATGTAATTACATACATTTTTGTTTATTTTATAAATTTTCAAAATTCCTATAAAACTTGTGTTTCTGTTATCTATGTTATATATCTGTTTCCGTTATATATAATACATGTCATCTTTTATCTATGTATATTAAAACAAGAAACGATTCAGTCACAAAACGAACCGTTCTTATGGAAGATCTTGTGTATGTTTTTAATATTTATCATTCACATTAAGATTGTTAACTTACATCCATAATATACCCAAATACAGATGGCCAAATCTCATTTCATGTTTACACTAGACATGATGTTCAGCAGATTGAAACAATAGTTCGGTATCAATTGAATGCGATCGGTATATCTGAGATATTCAGCGAATCGGATTCAATTTGCTAGCGCTCAAGTACACGATTGTTGTCTGCGCTCAATGCATTGACTGCTATGATATTCGTATTCAGGCAAAATTATTGCAGCATGTCGCCTGTATCAATTGCGACGGTTATTGCAAGACGGTAAGCCCGTTTGTCCGGATTGACGCAAAAGAATTACGAGTAAGCGCATCTATATCAAGAAGATGAAAATACTCGGTGAAAACGCAAATTTATTTAACGTGACGGTGGTAATTTACGTCAGACGCGTTTACGCGGAGAGCGTCGTGGCTTATATCTCGTACCTTTATCTCGTGACAAGATGTATATACGTTTTCGCACGTTTACATGCATATTTCATCGTGCGCGCGAAACATACATACACATACTCGTATCCCCTTTTACGTTGCATTATATCTATACGTCTTATCATGGACGCGCCAAGCGAGGGTAGCAACTTGTTCTTTCGCGCCCTTTATCTTGCTCCCATTGTTTTACTTCTTCCTCGTTTTCAACCGTCGTGTATCTTCCTTTTTATTCGTATAGACAGTGCCTGAATACCGTGAATTCGGCCGATTGATTCTCGAGAGGTCAGGGATCCGTGAAACAACTAATGTTGCTCCGTCAGATCGATAGAGAAAAATAAAAATCCGATGATCGGATATTAGCTCGCTCCTTTCGAATAGTTGGAAGCAGGAATAAGAGGGTCGCTTCGAGCACAAGGACGAAATTTCTCGTCCGCGTAATATGGGGCTTCCGAAAATTTGCGCGGAATGCAGGCTTCGTCTCGTAAGATTGCGTCAAATTTCTCTCCACCACGTTGGAGAATGTCGATGCTCACTCGCGAATAAAGGGCCTTTCCTCTGTTAGCCACTCGGTGTATTTTTATTGAAACCAAAAGATCTTGAATATTTACACGCGATTCGTTTTTACACAAGTACAAAGATCATACAAGTTATAAAGATCGAAAATTACGAAAAAGATCGGATTGTCACGTAATTATATATTTATATCGAGATTATTTTGTCAATCAAGCACAGGGCTAATTGAAGCCGAGATACAATGATACATTAGAGACAATGTTTTAATACGAGAATATTTGATATGTTTGATCGCGTCTAATTTCAGAACGTGCCCGAGAGGTCAATAGGCTACTTATTCTCGAGTCCGATACATGAATTACGCCCGCCAGCATATCGATCCTTGAATTTCTATCGTGCCAAGAACGATCCATCTCCCTTCGTGACGTAGCCGCGGGCATCCATCGGTACCGTATTATAACTGACCGAAAGAAGGATTAAGGGAACATTCTTTCGTATCAATATTATCCGAAGAGAAGGGCTGTTCCCTCCTCTAATTGCGTTGAGCCGTTGTTTGGAAATGAGTATAACACGCATTAATTTGATGTGTGTTTTCTCACGGTGTCTTGTAAGGGATAAGGATAGATAAGTCGAAGCAGCACGAAGAAAAAATCGATATTGCCCTAGCACTTGTTTACACAGGCTATATTAGCAGTATTCGGAGACATTCGCCGCGTTTTATTAAGACGGAAAAAATAGTGATTTACTCGCGAATAGACTTCTCACCACAGACACATAGTCAGATATATATTTCGAGATTATATTTTAGGTCGATCGATTGAGTCTTTCGGCTGTTTGCAACAAATAATGCCCTTAAATGACATGTACAATATTACATTGTTTAATAATTTTGATATTTTTTTTTATTACAGATTCGAAGATGAATTGGCCATTGGTGCTGACCTGCTTTTTGCTGCCGCAGTCGTGCATCCTCGGCGCATCGCGCGGTAAGTTATTTTATTAAAAATTATTTCTACCAGCAACGTGAATTTTTGAGATTATACATATATAGTCATTCTATAAGAGACATTAAAATATATTTTCTGATACTAATTTAAATATTTTTCTTAATTTAAACGTTTTCTAAATATTTCCAAAATTTTGCTATTCTTAATATATTTGTTTATTTTAATATTTTAAATTCTAATATGGCTCTAATTAGATGCTCTATAATTTGCGATTGGAGTGCAAAAATGGAATTGTTTATAAAATTGAAAGATATTTTATTTTATTATGAATGCTAGATATTTATAATAAAAAAATTGACAAGCTCAATCTAACTATTAATAATAGTATATATAGTTGTGTATATTTGTTGTAATAACATTTTGAAATCAGAAAAAGTAATGTGTTTATTAATATAAAATAAAACACGTACGTACTATATGAGAAGATGAAGCGCAGCGTACCGTGTAAAAATTTTTGCAAATTATTTTACGCGAATTTTACACCGAGCTATACTACCAAGACTATTCGTTGCACGACTATGCCATCGTTACTGTCCTCCCTGCTGTGCAACGAGCTGCAAAAGCCAGGCCTGTAAAACCAGAAAAACCCACGAATTGGGTCATTTCTTTTTTTTTCCGTCACCAACGACGAGCGGTAGTCGGGAGGCAGGCGGAAAATCCTTAATCCACCTCGGTCGCTCGGAATCTGGCGTGAACCCGTGCGAAAACAACGCCGAGGGGTGGATTATGATGATCGTGGAAACAACGTACTGGAGCGTTGTTCGTGTTTCCCGTGTGGGTGGGCGGTTTCCCGGATGTATTGCACACCCAAGCGTGACCCATAACCGCGGCTCTTTCCTTCTAGTTCTCCCCCAACTGCGCGGGCTGATAGACAAATTAGTCCTCTTTCACCCTTACTCGAGTTGAGAGCTAAGAAGCTCAACGTTTGTACCAATGGAGCTTATTTCGCCACTAAGCTCCTGCTATTCGGTAACAGATCGCCTTATAATGACAACGAAGATACAAAATACGATCTCTTATAATATAACGATCGATTCAAAGGGACATCAAAGACAGTTTTTCATTTGAAGCTAGTAAAATATTTCTTTGTCACTCCAACGTGAACAATGCAATTAAAAATTTGACTTTTTCTCTTCGAATTAATATAAATTTAATAATTAATAATATCATATATAATATAATTATAGAATAACTTTATATATAATATAATTCTTTATATTATTTATTTCATTAACATAATTAGGTAATTATAAAATTATATTTATAATAAATTTATAATAAAATTATATTTATTATAAAATTATATTTATAATAAATTTTTTAATTTGAAATATTAAACATAAGCAAATATATATATATACATATATTAAGAATTGTATAAAATAATTCTAGAAATAATCAGGGTTAATCAATCAACGTTACACTAGTAATTCTTTTATTTCATCATGTAATAATAATTAATACATAATTCTTTATCGTATAAGCGCGATCACGCTTCAATCTCTTTGAAACGGCGCGTGCGACCGCATTCGTGCTGCGGTAAGCTCACTACCCTATTTGAAAGTTGTCCAGCAGTGTTCAACTTGTTTGGCCCTATCGAGGCAAATCTCCCTCCGCCCACGTACGAAGGAACGGACACAATCTCTCTTGAGTACGGCGGACCGACGACCGCGGACACGAACTTCGATTTCGAGTACACAAGAGACATCGAGTACGCGTCTACCTGACGCCAATCCAGGTCAAAGTGTATTTTCTCGGTCGCACTCTGATGGCGGCAAACGAACCGCAGCGGTGCGCGCGCTCGAAATTCGCCAAGGCGAACTTTCCCCCCTTTTGACTTAATTGGCGGCTTTCTCGCGCGGGGACCGTCTTTGACTTTCCTTTCAACGACAGAGGAAGTCCGAAACTCGCCAATGGTCAGCGGCGCGAAACAATGGTATAAAGACTCGCGAAGCAACGAGTTACGCTGGTTATGCAGCAAACGAACTATCATCTCAAAGGTATTGAAAAGATGGCTAGTGACATGCACTAATTTACCTCGTGCATTTCACTTATGCGTATGTATCGATGTTAAATCCATAAGCTTTCAGCTGAATATTTATCAATTCTGACATCTTGAGATGTTTCATTGAATTGAATTTCTGTCAGTATATAATTTGATAGAACGATATCAATGATATCTTAGGATTCTGTTTTCTTGCTATCATATTGTATTTTTTTTCCATATAACAACGGGTAATAACTTGAAACCATACAAGAGAGTCGTTCGATCAATCGACTCGTTCTATCTCTCGATTTTCCAATTTATTTGAGATATTCTCGGTTTTGTGAATATCGTGTAGAAGCAGAAGGCCAGTAAATTAATAATAAATTATTTGTTCTTTGTCGCGATAAATCACTTCTTTCGAGTTCTTGAATGTGGTAACTAACTTAATTGGCGGCTTCGAGACAGCCGCGGACCGTCTTTGTGGATTGAAGTGGCGCGGGACCACGAAGCTTCAGAGAGGTCGTGGACGGCAACTAAGAAGCTCGAAACTTGTTAATGGCATGGGTGTTATGGGACAATGGCGTAAAGACCATTGAGATTACGAGGGGACTACAAGACTTTGCATTTGATGCAAACGACCAATTAAGTTGTTAAAGGAGCACGTTTTTCTCTTTTTCAATCGAGCGTTAAATATATGTGGAAAATAATTTAATTACCGTCGACGTTAAATTCACTCAAAATACTCAAGATGACTTACATTTATGAATTTCCGGGATAAGTCTGAAGTTAATCTTAACGAAAATATCGAGGTATGAATAGCTTCTGAGTGAATGATTAAAAATATCAAAAATAAATTAAGCTTTAGGAATGTAAATGGATGATTGCACAAATGGATGATTATTCGATACTAGATTTATGACCGTTGTTGGACTTTGCACATATTTAGCAAATGACAATGAAATACAATATGGCAGATTGGTCTGCTCAGTAGAGATATAATATCTCGACGCAAAGCCATGTTCGCTAGTTACTGGTCAGTGGAAACGGTAAATCTAAACGCTTACATGGATAGCGCATTACGTGTACGAGAACTATCACGTTTATGCGAGTCGCTATTATTTTGAATATCAATGCGACATTAAGCCGATGTAGACTGGTGGAGATCTAAATACGCTTTGCACTCCCTTAGCGAATAAAATCATTTGGCCACAGGTGTCATTTCCGACAATTTGGTTGCTGTTATTTTGATTTGCGTCAAATTTTACCGTCAAATTTTACCGTCATTTCGAGGACATTGTGGTTTCGAAAACATGAGAGAGTTCTCGTAATATTCTCCAAATGAATACCAAAGCGTTCAGTGAAAAGTTATTTTTAGCGTAGGTATAAAAAAATGTTCCTCATTAGTACAACTTTAATTTCGATTTGCAATAAAAATTGAGTCAAATATAAAAAACTATGCGTATAAAATAATTTGTAAAATAATGCGATAAAAAAATAATTTTGCAGTAATTGGCAATTTTTGTAGATACATTTCAGTGGCACACGAAAATGAAATTTTCAATCTTCACGCGCAGGAGAAAACCAATACCATAATTTTGATTGCTACGCAGAATTGCGAGAGATTCACGCGCGCAACAATAACGCATTAAGTTTTTTTTTTGTTTGATTCTGGCACAATGCACGCCCGTTATTCCGCTCATATCACAGCAATCTTGCTTTAACCTGCGACGCAAAAATTCGACGGATTTAGTTATATTCTTGTAATTCCTTTGAACGCGCGATGAATATTTGCTTTGAAGTAATCTGCAGCGGAAAAGGGTACGCGCCCCCTGATATGAATAACCTTTCTCATCGAGACAGGAGAATGGGTGAGAAGGAGAGGAAGAGAGAGGGAGAGCGAAAAAGAGAGTTAATTTTACGACGAGAAAAATGCGCGTTTACTGGCCGGTCGTGAGAAAGGGGCGAGTGCCCGAAGCGAAGCGCTGAATTCGTTTCTTGTCCCTGGCGCGAGTGGTTTTGTACCTTTGTAATAAAACTGCATTTCCATTTCCGCGTACAGCACGCGCGCGTTGAAATTAACGTTACGCGGAGACGGGCATTACTCGGAGTTTCCGGTTAATGGACCGTAACGTTTATATCTGGCTGCTCTTGGTAATTTATCGACGACGCGATAAACGCGCGATAAACGTTACCCAGCCATTGACACTGACGAATACGCATCCTTTATACATGTACACCGTCGCGTGCTTTTGTAGGGATTATCTAAGAATCTGACGATAACTAGGAAACGAAATAAGGTTTTTTTTTTCTCTCCTTTATACATGTACACCGCGTATATGGAACCGGAGATCAGTAGGGAATGATCCAACTATCTTTCGTCCTCCTTTCTACCTTTTACTTTACTTCTCCCTCCGAATCTCGCGAGTAAGTTTCCCTCTGCTTAGGAGCTGAATAGTGTTTGTGGACGAGAGCACGAGGACGCTTTTACGGAAGCACACATAATTTTCTGCCGCCGACTACTCGCGTTACCTTGGCGCGGGTGCGGTGGATCATCCTTATCTGACCGCCCAGCAGATACGCACGTTTCTCGGCCGAGATAAGGCGCATCCGACGCGGTAGATTTTCGCGATCCTACCGCCTTAGATTGTTCCATCCTCTCTATGCCGTTCCGCAAGACACCTGATTTAGTGCCATCGCCCGCGGATATTTGCCTTGTGTTGTAACGCGCCGAACGGATAAGCGCGCGTATCATTTAAGGGTGTGTTAATGCGCTCCAATCGTACGTTGCATCATAATTCCCGGCTTCAATACGGTTCTGTTGATGCTAAATTTGATATTTATTGTATTAATTATACAGTTTCTCGATACATCAAAAACAATTCATAATCGATTTATATTGATTTTTGGAATATTTGATTAATTCGTCAAATAAAAGCGTCTCAATGTGCCTCAAGAGATGTAATAATAGACGAGAATATCTCTCGCTTTCTCT